AGGGCTATGTCGCTGGACTCCCACGTAGTCGACCGCGGCTCGAGTCCCGGACCCGGTGGTTTAAACTCATGCCGGGTGTATGTGCGTGCGTGCGTGTGTGCTCAAGATCCTGAGAGGAGAATGGAGGGGAAGGGATTGCAGCATGGCCATCCCCCATGGGGGGCAATTTCTCGCTTTCTATCTGTCTGTCTGTCTCTGTCCGTCTGGCGAGTGCATGCGCCCTATAGCAAAAACCTTTCAAAAAAAAAAAATATATATATAGAGGTTTATTTAACTCTTGATTCAGGTGGCTGGAAAGTTCAAGGCACTAGATTGGCCTGTGTTACAGCATACACAACAGAAGCAGAGAAGAAAATTGGTGGGTGCAGAGAAAGAGAAAACTACAGGAAGCTCCCTCTCTTAAAAAAAAAAAAAAAAATCCAGGACTCAAACTGTGGTCATTTGCCATGTGGGATGCTGTCGCCTTAACTGTCACCCACCTGACAGTGCAGCTCTTTTTTTTTTTTTTTTTTTTTTAACAACCCCCTCTCTTGAGAGCCAATCCTTTCTCACAAGAGCTAGAACTCAGCTCTCCCATGACACAGCATTAATAATCTTGTAAGACCCATGCCTCCATGATCCAGCCACTGCCCATTGGGACCAAATTCTGAAACATTAACCTTTAGGGGACAAATCATTATCTAAAATGTTAATAGGGCCAAAGTAATCCCTCTTCAGGATTAGGCCACCCATTATTAAAAGACAAGAGTGAGGTTCTGACTTGGCCCACCTTAGAAATATCTTAAGAGCTGACCCAAATCCAAAACAAACAACTCGAATTAAGGGAATAAAGAAGTCCTCTTAAAAAGATGAGGACCTTTTAGTCTGTGGCTAATAAGAAAACAGGACAAGAGAAAGCAAACCTTGTTGACTAAATGCTGGTAACTCCAAATTAAAGAATGTATCTTAGAGTTGGGGGCCTTAAACTAATCAAAGTTTTTGTGTGGTATAAGGCAGCAAAATTCACTCAATTTCATTATCACAGGAGATGACAGAGACCAAGTTTAATAAATAAGCTGTAACACTGAAAGCTCAGCAAAAGTCAGCCTGGCTCCAGTGGTAAGTGCAATCCGGAATGCTCGAAATCACACAGGAAATCAAGGTTCAGTTCCTAGCCAGCCTGTACATGCCAGGTGCAAACATGCCCATAATCCTGGCTGGCTGGAAAAGCTGGAAGGAGGACTGCAAGACCCTGTCGAAGTTGCTTGTCCCCACCACCTTACCTTAGAAGAAATAAACTTAGAGGAAAAACTCAAAAAAAGGAAAGACAAATAAAAAATCAGGGCCACCCAGGTGGCATGGTGGTTAAGGCAACTGGATCCCACATGGTGGACTGTGTGGTTCAAGTCTGAACCTATTGGCTTGAAAAACCCATGAGGCACACATCTGTGTGCATGCTCAAAATCCCAAGAGAAGAATAGAGAAAAAGGTACTGTAGTGTGGTCATCCCCCATGGGGGGAGCTTTCTCACTTTCTCTCACTCTCCCCAATGAGCATATGTACCCTATAGCAAAAGAAAAACTCAGCAAAGGAACATGTAAAATTTGGGTACTTGTAATATTTCAACATTACCTTTATTTATTTATATTAATTTTATATATATATATATATAAAATAAATGTGCACTTGCCAGAGAGATGGGCGAGAGGAACAAGAAATCACCCCCAGGGGAAATGGTCACGCTGCAATCCCTTCTCCATTCTCCTTTCAAGATCCTGGGCATGCACAAACACATACATGCTCACTGTGTTTTTTGAGCTGCCAGGTCTGGGATGCAAACAGCTCAGCTGGCCATATGGAATCCAGCCACCTTAACCACCAAGCCATCGGCTGGCTCTCAACTTTACCATTAAACAAACCCCACAACTTGAAAAGAGTCGTAACAAACAAAACAAATGTAGGGACAAGGCAGTGGTGCAGCAATAATGCACTGAACCCAAATGGAAAAGGTCCTAGGTTTGTATCTTGTCCAGGGACTTCCCGGAGCTCAAAGGGCAGGCGTGCCTATGATCCTGGCTAGCTAAAACCTGAGCTGGACTGCAGCATGAGAACACTGTTGGAGGTTCTCTCTCTCTCTCACGGTATAAAGAAACCAACTTTAAAAACAAAAATTTAAAATGTGACCACACTTCAATAAAGATGGAAACAGAAAAAAAGAAATACAATAGTTGAGAGTAATATAAGAGGTAGTTTAAGTACATCGTCATAAGCTTTCAAGGTTCATGTGGTTTTGTGGACTTTGGGTTCCAATGGCCTAGGCAGTTTGTGAGAAGTTTGGGTTCTGAGGCTTTCCCTGAGCCTCTACTGGACAGCTGCCAGTGTTTTTCAAGCTCTGTATTCACCACACCCCAGCTCTCACTGAGAATTGCTTTTAATTCTAGCTCAGTCACTGACTCGTAGTAGGGCTTGGTCAACAAGCTTTACCTTTAAGCCTCCATTTCTTTAGCTCCCAAAACAGAGATACCAGGCTACCTTGCCTGTCTGATGAAGTCATGAGGAACAAACAGAAGTGTGTATTCAAAGAACCCTTAAAAGTAAGATAATGCTTATGCTTGTTACACAAATTTTAATTGAACAGAATACAAATCCAAACCAAAAGCTTTTATCAGTGATGGGCCAGGGAATGAAGTGATACAAGCATAACTCAACAGATGAACTTTGAAACTTTCAAAGGACCCATGCTCACTTCAGCAGCACATATACTAAAATGACCCAGGAAGATCTATAAGTTTGAAGATTCAGTATTTAAATTTCAAATTTAAAGGGGAAAAAAAAAATTCCAGAAGTAAACTTTACTTGGAGGCTCACAATTTGACACTGCATAGCAAGTCAAGCCTTTGCTTCTGAGCCTCAGACATTAACGAGTCACTGTTAGACCAGCAAAGTTCTTTTGGTGGCAGCACAGTTTATAGAAAACTACATGCAGGACACTAACACAAATGTGCCCACAGCCATTTCTGAGGGAGAAAGACAGTGAACGGGACAAAGACTACATAAGGAAACAGGAAGCCTGGATTCCAGCCTCCGCTCAGCATCTCTATTTGTCCTTGGGGAAGGCACCTGGGCCTCTCACTGTTTCTTCACCTACGGGATGAAAGGTATGGCAATAGGTAATCTATGACTTGAAAAGTTTATGATAGCAAAAGGCCACTTTGTATTCTACTATTCTGTAGCCCATCTGTATACTTCTGTGTCTTCATTCATACTACCTGCTCTAATGTTCTTCTCTCACTTCTCTAATCAACAAACTCCTATTCAACCTTCAAAGCCTGCTCAAAAGCTACTTTTTTTTAAAATTACTTTATTTATTTATTTTTAAAATTTGACCAGAGAGGGACAGAATGAGAAAGAGAGAGACAATGAAAAAAGCAAGCCACCAGGTCTGGGACTCGACTGCAGTCAGCTATGTGGGAGTCCAGCACTCTTAACCACCTCACCACCCGCCAGCCCCTCAAAAGCCACTTCTAACATGTAGTCTTCTCAAACACGTACACAAAGCTCAAAGTTCCCTTCCATTAAGCTTCCATAATACCCATGGTCGTTTTTAGGCCCAGTAGACTGGGATGAGAAATCTGATGTTTTTCTCTTCCCCTGGGAGGCAGGAAAATATGTTCTATAATCTGAGAAGAATGATGGGCACATGGTGGGTGCACCGTTAAATATTCACTGATTTGAAAAAAAAAAAATCACTGATTAAATACATTAACGATTAGGTGTCCCATTTCATGTCAAAGTTAGCTCCAGCATAGTTTGATAAATCCCCTGGCCACCTGCACATTTTGGAAAGGCCTACCTGGTCTGCACAGGTCTCCATGTTGTTCTTTTTCACTGGCATAGACCTCCATGCACCAAGCATGGTATGCAAACGAGAAGAGATCTTCTATTTTAGCAGGTGGTCGGATTGCATTATTCAGTCTCTTCAGCCACTCCTGACACTGTTCAAATGTTGAGAACTGACACCTTCATAAAGCCAAACAAATATGAATGTACGCAGAAGGCAGCTGACAATGAAATCCAAGAAAACCCAGCATGTCAAGAATGCCTATTCACACTAAAGAGGCAACTGCAATTGAGAAAGCATCAGAAGCAGTCACTCATATGTTCACAGCATTTATAACCAAAATGAATCCAACAGATTTTGGCCAGTGGTGCAAAATGTCAAAAAGAAGAAAACTGGATATGCATAAAACCTTTTTTTGTCAGATTAATGAGATTAATTAATAACAATTACTAGAGTAAAAGGCAGTCATTATTTTTCATGAATGGGGTTTCATTCTACTTCTACCAGCAGTTTTATGATTGTCCCTACTGAGAAACAGGTTTAGTAAAATCCTTTTCCTTAGGACATATTAGGCCAAGCCAAAAAATAAAATGAAACTACTTTTATCTAGTTAAACAGTAATCTCAAAATGTGTCTATTTAGCAATTAGGACAAATCAGATATAAAGTAAGATAGATTACACTGAAACTTTCAGATGTGACCACATAGAAAACAAAACAATCCTCTATTTATTATCAAATGCCATTTTCTGTATATACAACCAAGATTTAAAAATAATTAGTGCAAACTTATCTGTTGAGGATCTGTTTACCTACTTTGCCTTTTTGAATGTGGTCATTAATAAGCAAGCTTTTTAAACTGAATTGTAGACAATATTTATCAAAAGTAGTAAGTCAAATCCCACCAGCTGAGAAGCATATATTTACCAAATATTTAAGCAAATAATTTACCTTAAAACAATCAACGTGGCTCATCAACATGCCAATATTATTGTTTACTAATACCCCAGAGCAGATCAAAGGAATAAAGTAAAAACTTGATGAATTAAAAATGTCTAAATACACTAAATTTAAAAACTCATTTTAGGCATAAGTTTGTAGCCATCATAGTTAAGAACAGATCAGATCAAAGTCATCAACGGATGCTAAATTTATGAAGAAATTTTGGTAAAAAGGAAATTCTGATAAAAAAATATCAAAGAGCCTCCAACAGACTGTTTATCAGGTGCAAGTGAGAAAATACAGAAAATCAGGTAACACCTTGACTGGAATAATCAAAATTAGTATCATCAATGAGGATCAAGTGGATATTACTCCCAGATGTAACAATTTCCTGAAAAAGACATCCCCCCCTTTTGAATTTGTCAGCAGGCACATGTGTTTGCCAGAGAGACACACAGAGAGAGAAACAGAGAGAGACAGTGAGGGAAAGTGAAAAAGCATACGCTCCCCCACCCCGCCCCTGTAATGGCTATGTAATCCTTTTAATTCCCTACTCCTCCATTTTCCCTCCTTTCTGGATTTTGGGCACGCACATGCACACCCCCAGTGTATTTCTCAAGCCACAGGGTCCAGGACTCAAACTGTGAGGTCAACTATGTGGGATCCAGCTGCCTTAACACCACACCACTCGCTGGCCTGGACACGACATCTTATATACAGTATTCCAACTATGAATGTATCATATATAACCTTTACTCAATCTTTGGGAAACACTGGAAAAACACAAAACGAACAACATTCCACTAAAACAGAAGATTGTAGTCTTCAAAATATGAGTGTCATAAAAAACAAAGACTGTGGAAAATGTTGAAGATTAAAGAAAGTTAAGAGTCATGGCAGTTGACTGTAATATCTGACCCAGACTGGATCCAGTGCTGAGTGAGGTGGGGTGGAAAGAGAACGCTGTAAAAGAGGTCATTAGGTCGACGGACAAAACCGGAATGTGGATAGCACAACAGATGGATCAAAGTATTATCTATGTAAAATTGTGAAACTATAGTAATGCTGTGGTTATGTAAGAAAATATCCATATTCTTAGGAAAGCATACCAAAGTATTTTGGGATTAAGAGCCACGATTACGTAACTCTCAAATTGTTCAGAAACAGAAAATCTCTCTCATACACACAGGCCTCTGCAAATGATGAAGTAAATGCGGGTAAAATGTTAACAGGTGAATCTGGATAAAGAGTTTACTGTGGTTCTTGGTACTATTTCTATTTTTGTACTTTTTAAAGTAAGCTTGAAATTTCCAAATCAAAAATAAAAACTGCCTTTTAATATAGGTACTAACTACTCAGAAAATATTCCTAATGAGGATGACCCTCAAATGGTTTTGCTAGAGGTTGGGCAGTGGGACACAATACTCTGAGGGAGACCCACATGGGAAGGTTTCCAGTTCAAGTCTAGAAGTCTGCCGGAGTACGCTGGGCACGCACGGACTCATGATCTAGACTGACTGAGGGGGGCAGTCAACGGTGGCGTCAAGACCCTGTGCACAGTGCTGTATCTCTGTCTCTTCCTTTCTGTCTCTCATTATGGAACGAATAAACAAACTTTAAAAATGTGTTTTGGTAAGATACCAAACAATGGATCCATTCTTTTGAAATTATTTCCTATACTGAACAGCAGCACAAACATATCACATACCTGATAACTTTGCAGTCCTTGCAAGTCAAATGAAGTTGAAATATATCTCGGCATTCAACACTTTCTATAAGCTGTAATGGAACCTGTAATTAAAAAAGATGAAGTCCCCTTAGTAAAAAAGGCATTGACCCTGCAGTTCTTCAATGTGTCCAATGAGACTGATTAGAAAGATCTATAAGGGAAAGAAACAAATAGAACTGTAAATTTATCTGGATCGATAGTGCTCAAGTAATTTACTATTTACTACACAGTGAATTGGGGCTTCCTTTTCTCCATCTCTAAATTAATGGCCTCAAGTCAAGTCATACCATGATGACAACTAACAATGAGGCAGTACCACCTCTGGAAGAATTCCATGTCTCTCTCACAAGCTCATCTCCCAAAGTACTATTTTAGATGCTATAGCTGGCTAAGACTCGTAATGACACAGAAGCTGAAGAGAACCATCACTGTAATTCTGTCCTGATTACAGAAAAGAACCACAGATCAGAGTACAAGTGAAATGATATTTGTTGTTTGCCAAATGACGAAGTGGGCTTACAGTTTAGTGTCCACAGAGGTTCCTAAAAAAGGCTGGAGGTCTACACTGCCTGCCCACTGCACAGAAAAGAGCACAGAACAAGAGCAGTTGGTCAGGCTCCCTGCTCAGTACAGTAGCGCCACGGATATCGAGTAGGAGGGCGAAGGCCACAGTAGCCAAAGATGGTAAAACTAGCTAGGTCTGACTTGTTTCCAAAGAACAGTTAAGAAGCCCTATTTGCCAAGGAGTTGAGGTCTGAGCAAGCTGGAACAGCTCCCTCCCCGGCAATCTGGTCAGCAGACTCTAGTGAACACGGATTTGTACAACAGCAGACAGGGATCCAAGGAGGGAGAAAGGAAGGAAAGCATCTGAATGAGGGGACGAATCTTTAAGGTGACAGGAGGATCCTCCCCCCGTCCTTCCAATCATCTTGACACAACCCTTGGCTTCAAAAAGCAATTTCCAAAACTTCAAAAGACAACCTGGTAAAATAATAGTGATACTCATTCCTCAGAAAAGGGGATGGACCACCTGTCTCTTACACATATCAAGCCCAGTCCATATGTGGCTCTGGTTAATTACAAGGTGTATTCCAGCAATTCATGTTTAGCATAAGAAGAAATAAGAGTGCTGCCTGCTCAGGGTGGCCCTTCTGTGAGCTGAGCCAGTTTCAGAACAGGCTCCCTGCAAACCCTGCCCATCAGGCAGCTGCCAGAGTCTGCAGAGAACTCTCAGAACGAGGATGCGGGGATCAAAAAAGCAGCCCAGTGCTGGAAGTCTGGGACAAAGAAACAGAAACTGGGGCAGGGATTAAAGAGAAGAAAGCAAAATATTACTCCAATGAATGGCTGAGAGTTTCAACCTCAACACTAAAGACTTCTTGCGTCTAAGTCTATAATCTATTAAAATTTCCTAACAATTTTAATAGGACTGGTACTAAGAGAAAGACTGAGAAATCTTGCCTGTGTTCTGAGAAAAAAAGGAGCTTTTTAGCCCTCTGTTTTTGCTCAAGTCCTTAACCCCAAGGTGCTGTGAAAAACTGCAGATGATGTGGCTATAAATTCTTTCAAGACTTGGACATCTAAGAAGGAAAAAGAAACAGTGTTATCAGTGGTGATAAATCATAAAGGAGGAATGAAGATATTGAGAGATTAGAAGATGACACTGATGTGTTCATAGCCAGTACTCTGGGTGCCCTGTAAGAGATTCTCATATGGCCTTTTTCTTTTTTTCACAGTGTACTCCTGCTAACCACCTTACCTTCTTAAAAAGAAAAAAAAAAGTGGCAGCTAGACTGGCAATTAAGAGGCCTGAGTTCTGGTATTAATTTTCTAAAATTCTGCCTGATTCCTGGCTTCCCTGGGTGAGCCTCCAGCTTTACTTTATGCCACCAGCCTCTGCCTTCCAAATCTCAGATGGTCACAACTCAGGAAGCGGCAGGCACAGGACCTGGGGTAAAAGAAGAGTGAGCTTTCCAAATCCACGCAGAGAGGCTGCTTTCCCACCAGTCCCTTGGATCAGAGGCCTCCTTCACTTGCCTTTCCATATAGCTAGAAAATGCGAAAAGCAGCGGATGCTACTAGCAACTGCTGGGGGAATAGATCAGCCCGTGCTCCTTTGCTACAAAGGACAGGTAAATTTTATATCCCTACTACTGAGTCAGAGCCCAAGGCCTGTGCCCCAAACTTCCAGAGTAAGAATGAAATGTCTCAGAGAAGGCAAAATGTCTGCTACCTAAAAGACATTCAATTTACAAATTTTCATGTATTTTGCAAATTTAATAATAATAATAATGGTTTTATGCATTCAAATCAGATTGCAGATTCTGGCAAGTCACCAAAAACAACTGCATGTACTCACATCATAGACATAGAGTACTGTTTAGAGTAGATTTTAATACGCATGCAAACTGTCACATGCAGGGAAATTTAAAATGCAGGAAGAATAGGGACATATAAAAGAGAAACACCTAATTTTGTATTAATTAGCTCCCTTTTTGCTTCTCTTTTCTACTCAAGTGCTCTCCTTCAGCACTCCCTATACTGTCTCCTTTCCTAAAAGGACAAAATCCCGGCCTTTGTTTTCTCCATATATATATCCAACCAAAACACACTGTTTCTCTACTTTTTCAAGGCCTGTTTCACTGCTTTAGGTTTCTCAACTTTCCTCACATATCAAAAGAATTCCTCACCATTTCTATAACTAAACATACCCGATAGTCAATCTAATAAGCAAAGAATTACACAGTTAAGACCCAATCCACTCTATAGCCCAGGGAGGTTAAACCACTACAGTGTAAGCTAGCATCGAAATCAGGACTAGGATCCAGTCTATCCTCTGGTTGGTGCTCCTCCCACCACACAGGGTGTGCCTTTCTTTCTTCCTCTAAGACTGCCCCTCTTTTGTATGCACTCTGCTCTAGGGTTTTTGTTTAAGTTTTAAAAATTAAACAAATAAGTGGTCTCTCCACGAGAAATCTTCAAGAGGAAAATAAAAGTTAAACCAATATTCCTTAGAGGCAATCCCATTCCATCCATAGAAGAATAGCAAGGAATCTAAAATCATTTCAAATCCTCCCTAGCCCACTAATTCCATGTCTTGTAGCAATGGTTTTTTTTTTTTGCTCCTTTCTCCTCCATCTTCTACCTGACAGATAATTCCTTCTTCTTTTACAGTGCTTTTTCCTGTTATAAAGTCCATGAAATTCATGCTCAAACAATGTATTAAACACACTCAGTGCTGTTAATTCCTCAAAAGCCCAGAAGTTATATCATAGGCACCAAAACCCATAAGCACATCAATCCAAAAAAAGCAGAAGAGCAGCAATTAAAAAACTTAAGGGACATGCACAGGTATTAAAGACCCATAGGACTGTCGTATTCTAGAGGGATCTGATGTCATTACACTCTACTATATTTATCGCCTCAATTCATTCTGGGTGTGTGTGTGTACATGCGTGTGTATTATTTTTAAGCACTAGAATTTAGAAGTGAGATAATTTCTACCTTTTTCAAAACAAACACCCTTTTTATAGCCTGAATGAGAAGTACTAATCTTGTATACACATCTGCAGTAAAAATGGGAGTTAACAGAGTGAACATAAAGCAAGTAATAACCTGTATAATATCTGGGCACTAAGCCTTTTTATTTAAAAACCAGAGGAAGGGGGCCAGCAGGTGGCATGGTGGTTAGGGCAGCTAGACTCCCACATGGCTGACAGTGGTTCAAGCCCCAGACCTGGAAGCTTGCTTTCTCATTTTCCTTCTCCCTCTCCATCTTTCTGGCTAACTTCAAAAAATAGAATAAAATAAAATAATGACAATGAATAAAATGAAAAAAAAAAAATGGAAGAAGACTGTCAGAGGTTAAAGACTCAAACCCTTTACTGCTTACCTTTGACATTTATGAACTACATCTCCAGCACTGGTTTCACAAGCCCTCACTGACAATATGCACTCTAGGCCAAAGAGCACTGGTGTTAACAATAACCTCTCCTTTTGGTGCATGGAGAATGAAGATGGTTACAGTTCTACATGCAGACAATGGGAAAATGTGAAGAAATGCTAAGGAAATGTGTTTCCAGCTGTTACACTTTCACCTTTTTCCATAGCAGTATTGAAGCACCAGCCTCTAAATACTAATGTTGATTTTACAAATTATTTCTGGTTGAAGCTTGGTCTACATTTTTTAAAGGTCACAAATGCATTCACTTATGTATAAACTGTGGGGCTTTATCTTCACCTCACCAATTGTTCTCATTAGTGTATGCACTACTAGAGCTTTGTCCTGTAAAGGGGAAGACATTCATGCAGAGAGGACACGTTCTACTGATTTGCAAAGTGAGCATCTGCCACTCAACACCAGTTCATTCCAAGCACAGGTGCAGCAACCACCTAGAATTTTCATGCTACTTACTGGAATTTCAGAAGCAGCAGATTGAGAAGCAGTCTATTGAATTATACAACAAAAATTGTTTTAAACTTTCATGAATTCAACTTGAACTCTTATTTATAATTTACCTATTAAGCTTCATAAAAATACACCTGTATATGTTTTGGAAAATTTCAGATTGGGAGCAATTCATTCATTAAAAACTATAAATGAACTCTACTACAGAGGTTCTTTATCCTAGAAACAGAAAATTTGATAGTCAGTCAATGTGTATGGATTAAAATAATGATGTTTACGTTATCTAAATCTACACACAATTTACTCAAATGTGCTGTGAAATTAAGAGAGAATGTATGGATATATAAAAAAAGAATGTATGATATCAGGTATATTTAAAACTTAATGGTAAATCAAGTGATGGTAAATCAACAAGTGCTAACCATGTTGATTTAAATATATACAATGATGCAAACTGAAGCATGCCTCAACTTACACTGAAACACTTGGACTTGGATGAATTAAATGTGTCTGATTAAAGATAGTAACCTTTAAACATGGCTTCTGGATCTCTCTTATTTTATGAAATGCTTATCTGCTGAAGGAAGGAAGGAGAGAATACCACCACAAACTCTGGTCTCCAGGCCTTGATGCAGGGGGAGCTAGTTTATAGGAGCAACCCCAGATTTCAGGAATCTTGGCACTAACTATAGTGATATTTATCTGTATGGAAAAGTTCTGGTTTCTCAATATGAAAGGTTTAAAGTCACTGCAATGCCAAAATTTTGCTTGTACAATTATTTTTCTGTGAAAAGTCATTACCTTAGGCTTTTTAAGTTACGCGCAGGCTCTACACCTTAGAGGATTAGAACATTGACAACATTTTAGATGACAAAATTTTTCAGTGGCAAGTTTCCTTAAGCATTACATCTTAATCACAATGGAGGACCATCAATTCCAGTAAATATTCTAGTCAGAGTTACCATTAGAAGCACCAAGGACACTGGCCTATTACACATAAATATATTGTTTTAAAATGAGCTTTAAATCCAAAAGGGGAGGAAATGGGTGTTTTTTTGTTTTTGTTTTTGTTTTTAGAGGTTTTTTTTATTTTGCTATAGGGCGCATGCGCTTGCCAGACAAAGAGAGACAGAGAGACAGAAAGCGAGAAATCACCCCCCAGAGGGGATGGCCATGCTGCAATCCCTTCTCCTCCATTCTCCTCTTGGGATCTTGGGCACGCACGCACACACGCCCAGCGTGAGTTTTAAGCCACCAAGTCTGGGACTCAAACCGCGGTCGACTACATGGGAGTCCAGTGACATAGCCATTATGCTAACTGCTGGTCCCGAGGAAATGGTTTAATGTCTATTTCAAACTTAAATTAACATCAATTCATTTACATTTACTGAATATCATAACAAGAGACAGGTTAGGTCCTGAAGCTACAAAGACAAACAAAAATTACAACATAGCTGGTAACTGTTAAAGAAAAAAAACAAGTGTTCGAGACATGCAAGAAGCTGGGAGAGTTTAATTAACCGTCAAGGAGGAAACAAGGACTGAGAAAGGCTTACAAAAATAGCTATCACCCGATAACCGAGTTCTAACAGATAAATTCTTTAGGCAGGAGAGAAAAGAGGGAATGCAGAGGTGTTAAGTTTGGATAGTCCAAGGAGACTGGTTTTACAAAGGGCAGAAGAGGGAAAGGAGGGAAAGGCAGACAAAAAAGCTGGCAGAGACCATGGGTCACAAACAGCCTCAAACAGCCTCATACCATATTAAATCATTAGATCTTCCTTACAGAAATACTAAAGTCACACTGAAGGGCTTTAGGCTGGTAAATGACATGATCAGTTCTGTGCTTTCTTGCCAACAGATGATATTCCCCAGTTGATCTAAAAATAGTCTCTGGCATAGTTAGCCATAAACCAGTAAGCTGCTAAATAGGGGATGACTGGGAAAATGCAATGATATGAAACTACTGTTCCCACATGCAACTTGATTACAATTTCATTGATTCCAGTCATTTTAACACTGAAAGAAGACAAAATTAAATTAGGCAGATCTACTAATCATTACTGTCATTACTTCCACAGCAGCTGGTTGCAAATTTCTGCTTCCTGGGATTTCATAAGTTTCTACTCTTCCCCCTCTCATGACGACCACCCAAACCCAACTGGACCTTTCTGAATACAGTGCCGTATGGTATTAGGAAAACAGCACTGCCTCTCTCCTGGATAAATCTGGATAAATCTGGTGTGTATTTTTAACTAATAGTTCAAATCTAGAAGTCAGAAAAAAAACTAAGACCAAAATGGCTACTGGACATAAATGCTTAACTACCATGAATAATAAATAATAATAAGTAAATAATAAATGCCAATTACAAAGAAAATGGCAGCCACTGAGTCCTTTGACAAAAAATGTAAGGAAGAGCTGGGTAATATCTGGACTGCTGACTAAAATGAATGAAAGTGGCAGATTTCAAAGAATCCCAACATGAACTCCCAAACACACAACCTGAATGGAGATATAGTCCTGACCTATTATAAGGGGTCATAACACACTTCTCTGTGCTAGAACTAAAGTGCGGGAAGTTGAAACGCCAAGTGAAAAAGGAAGGAGGCAATCATTTGGTGGAAGCACATGACCTATCATTTCAGGCCTTTGCGGGTTCCATTTAAGACGGTTAATAGCAGTAGTGCACTAAGGAGCCGGTCCACTAAGAGGACTCTTGAAACTGAAAATGGGGAAATGCCCTCCTGAGAATTAAGGGCCTTTCTTTTTCTTCGCTAATATATAGTAGCCCATTATGCAAATCAACAATGTACTTAACATCTATACTTATTACTTACACCACTAAGGAGCCATTAGAGTACCTTTATCCCACAACCAAAGTCTGCAGTGAGCTCAAAGCACATCTCATCATTTGACATTAAAGACCCGGGAAATTACCTCAACTGAAGCAGCTGGCAGCTATTAAAGATGGAGGAATAAACGTCTATGCAGCCTTCGTACCTTTATAAAGCTTAATGACACAGCATTACCTAGTGCAAAGTGTTCAGTGTTAGCCAAACAAGAGGACACCTTGGCCAACAACGACATACATCATTAAATCAGGCATAAGAGTTGCTTGCTAACCTAGTGTCCCTTGAGTGCTAAATGAAGCAAGAAAAGCAGACCACACAGTTCTTTCACACTCAACCCTGTATGAAGCCCCTCTCCTTGAGAACATTAACAAGTTTTTCTACTTTCACTCTCCATCTAACTTAGAGGAAGAATTGTTAGAATCACTTACGTTAACAAGAGACTCCTTGAACTTGATGTGAAGTCTATAATTAGAAAGGGCAATGACAGCATCCTCAGCTCGACCCACATATTCTGTGCTCTCTCCATGAAGTTCAAGGAAAGGAACCTTCAAAGGGAAGAAGAAGCCCTTTAAGTTCCGAAGCAGTAAAGCAGTCTTCAAACATGGGTCAAGTGAATGAATGGTAAATCCTCTGTCACCCAAGTTAAAAACACAGCACATAAAAGGGTAAGGAACCTAAAGGGATAAGTTTATACCCACCTAATTCAAATATACCTGGTTAATCAAATTCTGAAGTATTAAGTAGATGACACAGCAAAGATAATCTCAAACTGTAAATTTAAACAGTGAATTTTCAGGAACTATGTCTTGCTTTATTGAGCGATGCATTCTATTAGGCCGTCAGGAAAGACATATCTTTCTATGCAAAAATGTGTCATGACTTTCCTGGCAACCCACTAGCTTGCACTTCTGTACGTACATGGCTTAGGAAAGAATATATATTATATAGTATATTACTTCAAGCCATTAGCTCTGCCTCATAGTTACTATGATACTAAACACATATTTTCACAATCCAAAATGGCATGCAATTAATAACCTGAAGATTCTCATCCTCTCGGATCAACTGCTTCCTAGGGAAGATCTGATTGGCCTGAATGCACTCAAGGCTGTGCCGAGTCTCTTCATCCTAGAAAAAAAAAAAACCAAAACCTTAACAATTGCAAAGCCTCGAATCATCCATATTTGAGTTTCCTGCCATGTCTACTAGCCTGACAACAAGAGTCCAATGATCAACATGAACAGGCAGAAAGTTTAAGGAAGATATATTCATCCCCAAAAGTGTTCCATTCAATACATTAGGTACCCCTAGTCTGAGAAAAGTACTGATACAAAATTTGTCAGAGGTTAGAACATTTCTGTTAGGCAATAATAGGTTGTTAGTACATTACTTTTAAGATGAACCACACTATATTGATTTTTTTTTCCAAGTTACAATCCTAAATTCTTTGAGAGATTGCATGCTGAATAATTTGAGAATAAAATATGGTGTCTGAATTAAAAAAAAAAAATAATAATTGAGAGGGGGAGAAAAGTAGTGAGAGAGGCATAAAGGGAACAGGATTACCCTTGAATTGACAGTTAATGACACAGTTAAGTGGGAGTTCACTGTACCATTACGTGCACTGTGGTGCCTGATTGGTACATGCAGAGACCCTCCTGAATACTCCCATTACACGCCTATCTATAATCTGAGTCTGGCTAAGCCTGGAAATGGATCACGACATTAAGATCCTGTTGGGAGTGCTCATCCTCACCCTTTTCTTACTCATGGAGGAAATAAACTTTAAGGGAAAAAAAGCTAGAGAATGGATCTCCCAAATTAAAAACTTGTGTGAGGCACCATTTCCATTTCCAGTTTACTCTGCTTTCTATTGAAAATAGAACTATTCCTGTTAAGTCAAATTCAAAAGAGGAAGCAATGAAGTCTCATGTAAATGGCACTTGAACTGAACTGACTATAATTTGTAAAAAAAAAAAAAAAAGTAATCTTTCTATTATAAATGTGTATGGTGTAAGACAGCTCAGGAGAAATGCAGTATATCAGAACACCTGACAATAAATTATAATGAATCTGTTTATACAGCAATTTTTAAAAGTACAAAAGCCAAATAGCATTCAATTGACAGCATTAAAAATTATAACCACTACCTAGTAACTGGACATTGCTGCACATGCTGCTTATCACAATTCATTCCAGTGATTATGTACACCTCCTCAAAGTGAGAGAAAAAAAATCCTACCTATAAGCAACCATTAAAAGGTTTTATCGAAGGGAACCAGCAGTTAGCATAATGGCTATGTCGCTGGACTCCCACGTAGTCAACTGCGGTTCACGTCCCGGACCCAGTGGCTTAAACTCATGCCGGGTGTGTGTGTGTGCGTGCCCAAGATCCCGGGAGGAGAATGGAGAAGGGATTGCGGCGTGACTATCCCCCCTGGGGGGTGATTTCTCGCTTTCTGTCTCTCTGTCTCTGTCTGTCTGGTGAGCACACATGCCCTATAGCAAAAACCTCTCAAAAAAAAAAAAAAAAAAGGTTTTATCCAAAAGCAGCTATAATCATAAAGCGGTAATTACTTTACTGGTATGATTTCTGCTATAGAGATTTCTGCTATATTTATGCACTCTCCAAAGAGACAGAAAGTGAGAAATCACACCCGGGGGGGGGGGGG